TTTCAGAAAAAAGAATCAGAAATTACATATATTTTCTCCCACTTTTCAGGATTATTATAGTCTTGAGAGTTATAAAAGCAATGAAGATGGAATTAAAACCAAATAAATAATTTTGTTCTAGGTATAAATCATGTGGTATTTTATTGTTTTACTTTATTTATTTATTTTTTTAAAAAATCTGGTGACTAAATTATCATGATGTCAGAGGACCAGGTTGTTAATTAACAGAAATAATCAAGGAGTTGGGTTTTTTTTAGCATAGAATAATATTAAAAGGTGGGAAACATCTGCCTTTCCAGGGGGTGCTGATCACCTGGGGAAAAGCCAATGGTGCAGTAAGCTGAACTTGTAGTCCAGCAACATATGGAAAGCTCTAGATCAGGGTGTCAAACTCAATTTCATTGAGGGCCGCTTCAGCATTGCGGTTGCCCTTGGGGGGCCGGGTGGGTGTGGCCTACTGGGTGGGCATGGATGGAGTGCGTGTGGCCTACTGGGTAGGCATGGCCAGCTCTACATTGTTCGCGTCAAGGGGGCCTGTGGGGGCCTGGGCAGGAGTGGGACAGATCTGAGGGTCTCTGGCAGAAGGGGGTGGGATAGGGGCAAGTGCCAAGGCATGGTGCATTTCTTCATTCCTCACAAAGGGTGACACCTCCCCAGCATGCACCCAGGGGGCGGGGCCAATGCGACAGAGGCTGGTTCCTCGCTGTTTCTGGATGGCCTTGTGGAGCTGAATACATTTCAGCATAGATGGCCACCACAAAACTGTGCATTGGCTCCCGGCCGGCCTGGGCCAGGGCCAAGGCAGCGGGGGCCGTTCCCTCACTGTTTCCAGGATGGCTTTGCAGGCCACAGGAAACCACTTCGCGGGTTGCATCTGGCCCCCGGGCCTTGTGTTTGACATGTCTGCTCTAGATTTCCCACCCTTGAATTGGTTGCAGTAATACAATAGAAAAGTTGCATTTCTGGGTATAACAGAAAATGTAGACTAAGGCGAGAGGGGAAAAAAGGTACTGTATGAGTAGTTGTCACCTTACAATCATTCATTTACTACTGGAAAATACAAAGGCACTGAAAAAATGATTTATAACTATTATTCACGCTTATAACCATCATGATCCCCATGGACACATGATCAAAATTTGGATGCTTGGGGCTTCGGGTTCCGAATTGTGACGCCTTCGGATGCGCTGGGAGAGTCCTCTCTCCGTTGTTCAGTTTCCCTTTATCAGAAGACCCTGGAAAGGGTTGAAAATCACCCTGCAGGGGCGACCACCATTTGGGAGGACCCTTGCTAGATCGCGGAAGGGCGGTAGCCCTTCCGTTTGATCCGAGGCAGCTCCTCAGGACCGATGAAGAAAAGATCGGCCATCAACATGGCCGATCATCAAGTCGCACCAGCCGAAAGCCAAAATAACAACTAAGCATAACGAAGCACCATGGAGGATTTGGGTGAGACTCTTATTTACCTTTCTCTTTCCCTACCACATTCCTGTGAAAGCTCCTTGAAACTTTTTTCCCCACTCTCAATACAGCGGCGTTTGCATACTTGGGAATTTAAATTTTGGAAACAAAAGAAAAGAAAAGAACAACTAACCTCACCAACTAAATAACTGGATTTTTGCTTTTGCGGATACCCAAAACTTCCTACTATAGAGATTTAACATCTTCTTTAACTGTTAACTTTGGAAAATATTTTTTTTTCTGTTTTTTTAACTGAATAAAATGCTATTTGGCATCTGGGAAAAGATTTTGTGGTCTGATGGGGACATCTTCTGGCAAAACCTGGCATACCAACTGATTTTTTTTTTCAATTGTGTCTGTTGACTCCCTTGATTTGCCCTTCATATTATCAAAAAAGATAAGAAGTAGAAACAGCTGGGTGGTGACAATTATTTTTACAAGTGTGGAGGTGGACAATGGCTGACTCTCACTAAACATACCCTCCACTAAAGGGCCATCTCTAATCACCATGGAAATGGAGGAACCCTATCCACAACTTAATTATAAACTTATCCTTGAAAAAATCCTTGAAGCTACTGAGCTACTGAACTCAGGAGTGAAAGCCAAGGACATTTTCACAAAACTACAAATTGAACCCCAGACTCAAACCGATCAACCTACAAGCCAAAAAATAACAGAAGAGGAACAATTCAACATTAAAGAGGATTTTATACAACACGTACAATCTACTGAGAACATCCAGTTATCAGTCTTTCAAAAGAACTGGCCCCTTTGTAGTTATTAGGTTGTTGCCCTAATAGTTCAAATCTCCGTGTTTGGTTTGAGATGTTAATCATCAGTTCAGTCTGGTCCTCTTCTTCTTCTTGCAGTTTTGTCTGAGTAAAATAAAAGGTCATATCTGATGTTGTGATTGTTGTTTGGTTATCTAAATTGTCTAAGTTCTCAATGTAACGTGTAGTTCATCAATTCCTTTTGCTTTTGGAGTTACAGGTACTATAATTAAAGTCAGTGTTTGAATATCAAAGTTCTCCCTTGATTCAAACAACAATCTGAGGTTTTAAAGGCACTGGCATGGAATCCTGTCAGGCACAAATAGAAAGCCAGAGTTAGATTTAAAATGGGATTTAGAAATCCACCTTATGGGTTAAGCAGCTTTTTAGAGACAATGATTGCTTTAATATTTAGGATTTAGATTTATAATGGGAATTAAAACTAACTGTTAAGACTGTAACTTTAATTGTTATATGGAAATAGATTTGTGACAATGAAAGGTATTTTGTTACTAAATGGAGGAGTTACTAGAATGAGAAACAGAATATATCTGTCAATAAAGTAAGAAGGTAAACTTCTGGAATAATAGGTGTATTTTAGTTATGTTAATTATCTTATAATGAAATGAGGGAAATTAAGGTTATCCGAAGATTAAACATTGGTTATAAAAGGCTAAATTGGAATATGCTAATTGGAATTAAATAAAACCTAAAAACAGGACTTGGATATGTATAACCAAAATGTTATTCACAAATGTATTGATTGATTGAGCTTTAGTTAGAAATCTATTAATATGAATATGATATAATAATTGTGGGAAATAGAGAGGGAACTTTTATTGATGTAACCCGAGATATATATGAATGATTTTGTTAATGGACTATTGACTACCCTATCACCACGCTGCTTCCAAAGTACTAGGATGTAAACATTTAAAAAATTAATAAAACTTGTATAAAAAAAAAAAATTAGATGCTTGGCAACTGGCATGTATTTATGACGGTTGCAGTCTCCAGGAGTCACGTGATCAAGTTTTGCATCCTTCTGACAAGCAAAGTCAATGGGGAAGCCAGATTCACTTAACAACCCTGTAACAAACTTAACAATGATTCACTTACAATGATGACAGGAAAGGTCATAAAAAGGGGCAAAACTCACTTAACTGTGTTGCTTAGCAACAGAAACTTTGGACTCAATTGTGGTTGTAGGTTGAGGACTACCTGCAATTCCAACAGAATAGTTCAGGCATGTCAAACTGCTCGCCTGCAGGCTGGATGCGTCAAACCAAAACCGCGCCCATCCCATTGCCGGCAATGGGGAAAACGTTGTGTGACGTCGCGAGTTTGACATGCCTGGGATAGATAATAAAAGGAAGCATAATAGGACGATTCTTTCCACTTACTCTGGAGCTACAGACTTGACAATGGAGCCCTGCTCTAAAAGACTACAGGAGAACTGTTGTAAGACAGTTGTAAGAACATCATTTGATGGCTGTGGCTGGGAGGACCTTTGCACAAGTTCGTCTGTTGCACCAGTTGCGACCCTACCTGGACCGGGAGGCTCTCCTTACAGTCACTCATGCCCTTGTCACCTCACGTCTGGACTACTGCAATGCGCTCTACATGGGGCTACCCTTGAAAAGTATTCGGAGACTACAGTTGGTCCAGAATGCAGCCGCGCGAGTGATAGCGGGTGTTCCTCGGTACACCGTTACACCTATCCTCCGCGAGCTGCACTGGTTGCCTATTGGTCTCCGGGTCCAATTCAAGGTGTTGGTTATTACCTTTAAAGCTCTATATGGCTCAGGGCCAGGCTATTTTCAAGATCGCCTACTACCTCATATTCCCTTTGTCCGGTTAGATCCCACAGACTGGGCCTCCTTCAGGTCCCCTCGGCCAAGCAGTGCCATTTGGCGGGACCGCGGGGGAGGGCTTTCTCTGTGATGGCACCCATGTCTTGGAACCAGCCCCCCCCCCCGGAGATTAGGACCGCTCCCACCCTGTTGGTTTTCCGCAAGCTGCTTAAGACCTGGCTTTTCCGGCAGGCCTGGGGTTTATAAAATCTGACCCCTGGATGAATGTTACTGTATTGTTTGTCTTGTTAAGTTATATTGTGTTTTTATTGTTAGCCACCCGGAGTCCTGCGGGAGTGGGGCGGTTTATAAATTTTAATAAATAAATAAATAGATAGATAAATAAATAAAAGACAACTGTTGTAAAAGGAAACAGAAAAGCAGTTTTGATATGCAGGCAATCGGTTTTTCTGAATGCACTCCATATTGGAAGTGCACTACCATCCTGAAATAAATCCAAAAGCACCATTGAATTATTAGAATAGCGCAGGATAGAGAGTGGAGTGTTAACCATCTCCTTCACAACATTAATCAACATTAAATATCAAGGTATATTTTGAATGACATTTGTTAACAAGGGATTCAACTGACCACCACTTTTAAAACATCTGTTCGTAATTGCTCAAAAATTATGTGAAATGCCTTCTACTTAATGCCTGCTCTGCAACAGAATTCACATGCAAAACTTTAGGTCAGGGTGTCCAATCTTGCCCATGTGCTGGCTGGGGAATTCTGGGAGTTAGATCCACAGGCCTTAGAGTGCCCAAGGTTGGACAGCCCTGCTTTAGGTGGATTGATTTCAGTGTACCTTATCCAATCAGAAATCCAACCATTATCTCTCATTGAAGGCAGATGGATTCCGGACACTTAAATCATATTCCAATAATTCAAACAATGTCGAAACAAATCTGTTTACCTCTGCAGGCTGCTTTGAGAGTGGATGGGATGGTGGTGGCTTCTTCAGTTCTTCACATTTTCTCTTTTTACAAATCCGGTGGCTAGTTTTGCGTTTCCTACAGCAGCTACACTCTTCACAGTTAGTTTTCCGCAGGCAAGGTTCACAAACTCCACAGCGCCTTCTTTTTTTCTTTTCTAGCACAGGTTGCAAAGAGGCAAGGCAACCTCCGTTTATGGATTCAAAAGATAAGGGCTCAGATGCCATCACTGAGTTGGTGTTACATTTCTTGGGGTCCTGGGGATAGTTTGTGATTTTTCCATCTCTTCCCAGCTGTGGCAAGGGATCCGAATGCCTGGAAATGGAGTTGTTAGGTGGCACTATCCTTTGCTCTTTCCCCTCTCCTGTACCCAAGTTCAGCCTTGCATTAAGGGATTGTGAAAAACTTTCTTCAGACACCTCCCTGCTGACCGGGATAGTGGTTTTTCTTTCTAGATTAAAGGGTGCAGAGGCTGAATCTAAAGTGAATGTTTCTGCAGCAATTCTTTCAAGAGTCCGTTCAATGTCATCCAAGGTGAAATTACTCAAAGAAATGCTAGAAATTTGTTCACAGACTGACTGTTCGTTTGGTTGCTCACAGCTATAGTAGAAAGAAGAATCAAGTGTTTCATTGCTTGGCACCAGCGCCAAGTCCTCTGGTATAGGTGGGTCTCCTACAAGGTCTGGTTCCTTTAAGCAATCTTCTGATCCAGAGGCACATGGCAAATACTTTTCTTCTGCAATAAGAGGCTCAGCATCTGGTTTGTTCAAGGGTTCCGACAGCGCACAGGGGTCTTCCAGATGCAATTTTGAGATCAGTTCAGAGGTAATCAAAACGGCAGCATCGGATTCACAGGGATGTAGCACCATATTATGTCCAGTTTTGGAATGAGACTCCAGAGAAGTCTCTGGACTTTTGTTGTGCAATGCTAGGTCTTGTTCTGAGGAAAGGCTCAACATGGAAAAGGAGTGTGAACAGAAATGTTCTGGGGGGACAGGAGATAAATTCAGGTTACTCTTTGCATATGTTTCTACAGATGTTCCCAATTCATCATCTTGTACCCTTAAAGTAGTGTCAAAGTCAAGGTGTAATTGGTGGAGAAGAGGCTCAGACAAAATTTCATTTGAGGTATTAGTAAACACATTTTCCAGAGTCTGCTCACTGGAAACGAATTCTTCACATCTGTGTTCTTCTTCTAGTATTCCTGAATTACAGGAATTATCCGTCACACCATTATTGGAAACAGAAATTTTGGGGGGGTGCATGATCCCTCTCTTTTTGGCTTGATTATCATCTACAGAGGACCAGCCTGCTTCCTGAGAACACGGAGCCATGTCTCCTTTGGGAGAAGGTAATTCACTATTCAAGTTTAAATCTCGTGCAAAAGCTCTTGTAGTCTGTTCAACTTCTTTCCTCTCTAGTGCAGAGGAAATTCCTGATCTGGCTTTTTCTCTTTTTTGGGGGCCACTCTTCTTAGCTTTTGTGATTGTCGATACTTGAAATAGCCTATGGGAAAATGGTTTCCTGCGAAGAGTCATGGAAAAGCCACTGTAGCTCAAAGGAGGCTGGTTGTGGAAGAGAACATTATCAGTTAATTCCAGATTCATCCAAGATGTTCCAGAAAAGGCTTTGGTTACACTGCTCCGAAGAAATCGGCATGGCGAACTTAATGGAGGTTTACGTCTTTGGGATTTTTTCTTGCCATCGTTCTGGTCTTCTGTTAATTTTCTACAGCTTGTAGAACACTCTTTCTTTGAGGACAGTTTCTTGGCATCTTTTATTCCTTGGCAAGATTTCTTTTTAGCAGGACTCGGTTTCTTTTTGCTTATCTCCTCTTTTTTAATTAATCGTGAAGATCTGGCATCCCGGGCCATTTCTATCAAACTCTAGATGTGACACTGGAATTAGAGTTCATGGAGTCTTGTAAATGTTCTTCATTTCAGGAGAAGCCTGCACATTTGTCAGGGCATTCTCTGTGTAGTACAGAGCTGAAACAGAAAGAAGAGCAATAAAGTATTGTGAAGAATTCTAGGTTTCTCATAGAAGCTTTAAAACATTTATGTCATTTTTTATTATCTCTGTAGTTTTAACATCAAATTTGCAAGATGCATCAAAAGCTGTGCAGACTAAGAGGAAAAGGGATATAGCTAGCAGCTTGCCAAAGGCGCAGGGGAAAAATTAGAGCAAGACAATCCTGTTCATATTTCAATTTGTTTAGTTCAATGCTATGGAATAATATTAAAAGTGACACATGTTTTTTGGCAGCAAAGTCTGGAGGAAGCTGATTTTCTTCCATTTGAAGGTGGTGCTTTATTATTTTGTAATATTGTAGGCAATGCTTTACTTTTTGAAGGCTTGTATTTCCCTCAAATCTTAAGTAATGCTGGAGAAAAAACTAAACAGAAGGTTGATCAGCACCAATTCCACTGAACACCCAATTACATGGAAAAGAAAAGCTTCCTCCCCCACTTTAAACTGACAAGCACTGAATAGTGAAGAAAACAGCATGAATAGTTGCAACATCCACATTCTCTAAGATTTTCAAGCAGTCTTGGCAAGTTTCAGAGATAAAAAACTGGAAGCCCCAAAACGTTTTGAAATAGGAAGCACCACTACCTTCTACACCCAACAACTGCACACCACATGTTTTGCTCAAGGGCATAGGGACCATTCATTTTCCCGTTATGCCAAGAGGGCAATGCAGAAGATCTGTAGAACGTGCAGAAATGGGTATCCAGTAGAAGCTCCTTGCTAAAGGAAATTTTCTATCTCTTTCCTATCTGTTCTGCTCCTAGTAAACATCCACCTCTGTTCAATGACCCTTGGCTTGTTCAAAATGTTTGTTTCCTCGCTGGGTGTGACAAGGACTGGCCCAAACCATTTAAATTCCTAAGGCAAAACATTTGGACTGTAGCTTTCACTGTCATCAGACTTTTGCTTTTCTCCATTTTAAGAACTTGCAGAGCAGAATTTCATTCATTTACCCAGGACACTGATTCATGTGGATCAGATCTCTTGACTGGCACAGAAAATACTGGTTGTGTGCAAACTCATCTGACTGTCAGATAAAGATAAAGGGCCAGACTTTGAAAATCCCTTCATCAAGATGTTTTTGTTGATGGTATAACAACCATCAAGAACAAGATGTTTTTCTTGATGAAAAGGTGTGCAAAATAATGTGCTAATAAGAAAAAAAAAATATTCGGCAGCAGAGGGCTAAGCAAACTTACGGCCAGTTAAAAAAAATTCCAAGTATTGAGAACACACCTTGGATTCCTTTACAAAATGGTTGCTGAAGATAGAATTGCCTGCTGACAAAATGGCCTCCACGGTGAATGCAATCGATCACAAATCATCAAAATAAAGCAAAATAAAGCAAAATAGTGAAAAAGTATTCTCCTTTAGCCCCAAGGGTGCTTTTTAACCCCTACTTTTCTCCTTTTTTTGAGCAATAAAGTATAGGGTGCAGTCACACTCTCCCACCGCCTCAATTTTAGACTTCCTGTCATGTCTATGTGAGGTCCTGAGGAACTCTTGCGAATACGGTTGCTGGTCTTTTGCTTGGCAGGTGCCATATTGCTATATCATTATTTTGATCCTGTTTTAAAATGTCAGGTTGGATTTCAGATATGCAGCTGCCAAGGGGAACCTTTTTGCCTCTCTCTGCATTCTTTCTTTATTAAGGAAATGTACCGTATTTGCTGCCCAACTCATATCCAACGATTCTAGAGGTGAAACCCATAGCTAACTCCTGGCGAATACAGAGAACACCGAAATACCAGACTCTGTGTTTGCCAGCAGTTAGCTCTGGTGTTTACCTTTAGAGTCGTTGGATACGAAATGGGCAGCAACTAAATTTCCCTAATAAACAAATAAATACATTCAGCAAAAGCCACCTTCTTCAACACAGTGCCTATTAGATGGTTGTTCCCTTAATGCCCCTAATTTGGCATACAACAATTTCCTATCCCAGAAATGAAGGCAAATACACGTGTCCCAGGGTAATGATGCAGGATCCAATCTGGGTCAGTCACCGGGACCAGAGATTTAGTCTTCCGAGCTTTTGGGTTGTTCTGGAGCCCATCCTCAGGGAACTTCTCTCTAGCACAGGGGTAGGCAACCTTGGCTCTTTTATGACTCATGGACTTCAACTCCCAGAATTCCTGAGCCAGCATGGCTCAGCTTGGAAACCTCTCCCTTTCCCCTCAGCATGGCTGGCTCAGGAATTCTGGGAGTTGAAGTCCATGAGTCATAAAAGAGCCAAGGTTGCCTACCCTTGCTCTAGCAGAATGCGATAGAACTTCTCTGTAGCACACCCTCTGCTAGAGAGAAGTTCCCTGAGAATGGGCTCCAGAACGATCCAAAAGCTCGGAAGACTAAAGTTCTGGTTTTGGTGAACGACCCAGATTGGATCCTGCAATTTCATATCTAGTAGCCCACAATGATCATTCTTCTGATTCAGGAAAACCTTTTACATTGCTTGACATCTGTTGCAGAAGAGGACCTCAAAACGTTCCTGAATTATGATTTCCAGAAATGGCAAAGGAACATCATGCGCCACTGATAAACCTATCAAGATGAAAGCTAGCTTCCTGTCTAACCTGAATGGCCTGGTTCCAGGAGTAAAGTTTCAAATTTGTTTGGGAATATGGCAGTCGCTTACAGAGAAAGTTGTGGTTTGTGTGGGCTGCCTTTACATCTGTGCTTCTAGGACAGAGGTCTCCAAACTTAGCAACTTTAATATTTGTGGACTTCAACTCCCAGAATTCCTCAGGCTAGAATTCTCAGATTTCTGGCAGAGGAATTCTGAGATTTGAAGTCCACAAGTCTTTAAGTTGCCATGTTTGGAGATTCCTGTCCTAGAATATCTAGAGAACAAATCAGTTTCTCTTCTAGGTCCACAACTGCTCTGCCATTTTGCACGGATCTACTATACAGTGGCAAAGAGGTGCAGACTCTACTCATATATGTTGACATGGGAGCAAATGCAGTTTTTCCCAGCTTATGAGATAGGATGATTTGTATTGGTAGCACACTGTTTCTTCAGGAAGACAGGGTTAACACTGGGCTAAAGGCTGCCTCGGGAATATTTCTGGTCTTGGGGCAGCTGCTAGTCAAAACTACACTGCTAAACACTAAGCTAAATGGAGCAATGATTCATACAAGGCATAGCATTACCAACAAAGAGATCTGAATACTATCTATTGGCTACAATTTCTATGTTATATAACATACATGATCCAATAAATTGGAACTAAAAGATTTATTCATAAGAGAACCAGTCTGATCCAGTGGTTAATACTCCAGACTAGAAACTGGGAGACTGTGAGTTCTAGTCCTGCCTAAAGCATGAAAATAAGGAAAATAGGAGGAAGAAAGAGTATTCGTTCACAACCCTGAGCTATTTCTAAAATTTCCTTGTAAGTCTTCAAAAATGCTTAAGGGGAAATGGTTTCTGTGTTGCCCTATGGTACCTAGGAAAATTAAATACAGCATGAATAGAAATAAAAATTGGATACCAAAAGATATAAGCAACCCAAGAATGGGGAGAGAGTTGATTCTGAGAACAAGATGAAGAAATCACTGGTGCAATTATTACATTACTACTTCTATACTCATACGAAGAGGCAAACGTGGTTTTTCTCTCAGAGAACACTAAACAACATCCCTGAAAGAGACAACAAACCTCTTTATTTTTGTTCTCAAGAAATAGGCATCAACATGTTCAAGGGTCCATCAAGAATCAACTTTGTGCTCAGTCCAGCCAAGACTATATATTTCAGCACTTTGATGAGGCCTCCTCAAGTACTGTGTAGACTTCAAACAGGGGTTAACCTCTGCTGGAAAACCTAAGTGTATGTGAAGCCTAACAGAATGGACTACAACCAATAAAACCATCTTTGAGGAATCCTTGGTGTTCTCTGAGCTTGGTTTGGGAACCTGGCAGGGCAAGCTACTGTATATAAATAGGGAGCAAAGCCCATCCCTACACGCACCGATACTACTTAGATAGTGGAATGACTGCAAGCAAACAACCAGGCTCAGAGAGCACCAGGAACTCCACAGTTCAACCCTGAGCTACATGTATCTTCTATTAAAACCATTCTTTTCTGGAAAATATGACAAATGCACCATATGTTGCTTCAAGACTAAAGATGGCACCCTCATATTGCTTCCAAAGGGCTTTAGTTCAGCCTTCTGTGAAAAGTCACAGAATATCACTCTTTGGCTTATTAATGCTTTCGGTGGAGAGAGATATTTATAACCAGAAGATGACTTTATCTGGACTTGTTCTAATGTCCCACACATGAGGCAGCGCAACTGCACAATAAAAATGCTATCTGGAAGCAGACATACCGGTATATTCTATAAAGATTCTGAGGTAAGTTGCCTGTTGTCACTAAATAAGTGGAAACAAGCAACACATAATCGGTTCATAAAGACATTGGTGTCTCTTTGAGCTACAACTTGCTGCTGATTCTTAAAGGAAGAGAAAGTCTGTCTAATTACTCACGGAAATGGTATTTTAAGTCATGCTGATTCTATCTTTTGCAGTTTGACAATTGTACATCAGCGTTCTTAGAAATGACTGATAGATTCTTTGACAAATGTCTATTACAGGTAGTCCTTGACTTACAACCATAATTGAGCCCAAAATTTCCATTGCTAAGCAGTTGTTAAGTGTGTCTTGTCCCATTTTACTACCTTTTTGGCCACAGTTGTTAAGCGAATCACTGTTGTTGTGAAGTGAATCATGCAACTGTTAACCAAATCTGTCTTCCCCCAATTGACTTTGCATGTTGGAAGCCATATGGAAAGTTTACAAATGCTGATCACATGACCCGGGGACAGTGGAACTGTCATAAATACATGGCAGTGGCCAAGTGCCCGAATTTTGATCATGTGACCCTGGGGAAGCTGCAAGGATCGTTAAGTCTGAAAACCAGTCATAAGTCACTTTTTTCAGTGCTGTTGTAACTACAATCAAACAAATTGTGGGTAAGTTGAGGACTATTTGTAGTGAAACAATCTACTTCCCACCCTCCACAATGGATATGTTCCACAATACTTAAGAGAAACTTCACACATCTTGCCAAATACCAGCACCAGGGGGGTGGGGCACTGATAAAAAGAGGGAGACCTTTCGAGTTGCCCACTTTATTCAAATGTGCAATCTGAAGAGAAGAAATGGCCATGCAGCCAGATGGTCCATTTCAACATTCAAGCAGCTGAAGGTCAGAAGCATTCAAAATATTTATGGCATTACTAAATCACAGGTTATTCTAGATTGGATATCCCTAATGTAATCCAGCCAGCAACAGCACATTGTAATGCAGGAATGCTGGTATGGACATTTTCACCCTGGTGTAATAATCCTTAATGTTAAAGGAGGCAACTTTTCTTGAAACTGTAATGCACAAGAGGGAGCCATACGCTAGAGGGAACTGTGATCAACAGCTGTTCCTCTGCACATTTGCGAGGTGTGCTCAAGGATACATATATCCGTCACTCCTCTCAAGAATCTTTGCTGAAAGATGCAGTTGTGGCAGAAGAATTGTTGCAATTAACGGAACACTTGTGTATTACAACAAGGAATGCACATTTTGAAAAGCCAACCCCCTTCGTTGGTCTCAAAAGTCAACTTTTTGAAATTAAAAGTTGCGCTCCCCCATCACTGCTGCTGGAGAAATCAGAATGGGATGCCTCACCATGCCATGCAGACTGTATTTCTGCTGGATTCTTCAAAACCAATTCTCCCAAATCAATGGCTTGAAAGCTGCTTGGATCAAGAAAGAGCCCTTTTCTTGGCTTCAGAAAGTTCTCCACTCACTTCCTACCCCTTGCAGGACGAAGCGGGGTGGTGTTGGCGTTTAGGGAAGCAGAATTACAGTAAAACTTTATGACTTGGCCACATGCTCTGCAAGGGGCAGAAGGAATAAAGGCCAAAGGGATGGGCCAGGTCCCGAGGGAGGCAAAGCTCCCTGTCCTTCCAAACCCCTGTCTAGATTCTCAGTCATCCAGGTAGAGTGGTCTGGAAGTTGAGTCCTGGTAACTGGGCTTCTTTTTATGTTTGGTTTGAAGCACTGGTTTGAAGTAGCTTCTTCAGTCTCAGCCAAGTGGGATCCTCCTAACCAGGTTGTAGACTGAAGAAGCTACATGGAGAAGAAGTTACTTCGATAAACAGCAAAATGTTTCAAACGAAAAAGCAAAAGAAGTCCAGTTGCCATGACTCAACTTCCAAACTGCTGCCTTGAGCAACTTCATAATAGAGATACAACCTCTTTCCTCCACAAGCAAGTTATCAGCAATTGGGGAGGGGGGAACGGGGTGGCGGGGAGAGAAGACCAATCCAGGCCTGGATTCTCATTTCAAGCAGATGGCTCCCTGGAAGGGGGGGGAACGCTTCTCCAGGATATGGTAGCCCAAAGTGGCCTAGAGTCACGTCCTCATCCGAGAGGGGCTGAATAGCCAGTCAACAAATTAAATTCCATTTTACTTCTTGACAATGCAAGAGGTCAGCCAAAATGGGGAGTGAAAAAAAAAAAAAACTTCAAGACTTTATTTCACTCTCTGGCTCTTCAAACACACAGCCAAGCGATTTAACACAAAACCCCACACCTTTCCTTTTCACCCCCCCCCCTTCTGTTTAAAGCGAAGTTTAGAAGATGCTGTTTAATTTTTTTTTTTCTGCCCGCAAAACCGAAAGCTTAAGAAAATAAAAAGAGGCTTTGCTGATCGGTCCTTTAAATTGTTCTCTCTTTGTAAATGGAGATTTAAAACCATTCGGTCTGCCCGGCGGCTTCGGTCGCTTTTAAAGTCAAATTTTGCAGATTCTTGGATGCCTTTTAAAACAACGAGTATTTTAAATTGGGCCGTAATTTTCCCAAGCGACGACAAGGTCCCAACGATCCGCCTCTCTTTCCCTCCCGGATCATCGGCCGAAAGACTTTTGGCAGCATGGGAGGTTTGGGCTAACTTGAATTGCCTTCTCCGCTGCAAGGAAGGCGATCCCGTTTGGGGGGGGAAAGGGTCTCTTTTAACCACCCCAAACTCGCTAAGTTTCACGGGCGAATAGGGCTTCGGCACACCGCCTCCTCCTCCCCGCAGGATCGGCTCCTCCGGGGCTCGATCCGCCGATACGTACCAGTTTCGCTGCGTTTTCAGGAAGAGACTAACAGGCATGGCTTTGCAATCCGCCGCTGCAGAAAAGCAAGGAAACTTCCATGGCTCATCCAGCCGACTTGTATTTGCAGACAGGAGAGGGGGGAGAAAAAGCCCTCCAAGGTAAAGAGAAACCCATCCACCCCCCCGACCCCGAGCAAGGGGCAAATAAAACGTGCTCTCCCCGGATACTTCGTAACTTCCCCGGCCAGACCCGCTGGGAGGGAGGCTGCTTCGCGCGGCTCGGCGCTGCGCTCTCCGGCCGGCCGCAGCCCTGGAGCGGAAAGTAAAATACGAGCTGGATCCCCACTTCGGAGCGGGATTGCTTACTTCTCCCATTCCCAGGGATCGGTCGGCAGACAAGGCGTTATTCCGAAATGGATTCGCAACGGATTTCGTCACTAAAAAGTCAAGCGCCTCCCTTGTGAAAGAATCGGAGAGGTGTGTATCAATGTGTGTAATATTTTCAGTCCTCAGACTTACACCCACCTGGGTTTGGATTTCTGCCTGTTAACAGAAACAGAAAGTAAGATTAATTTAATTTTGATTAATAAGGTGACCAACTTTTTTACAATGAAAAGGACAGAAATAAATTGAAGAAAAAATATCGTAAATAAAAGAAACATTTTATTCATTGCAACAATAATACAGAATACACTATAATATGACAAATGCGTCATAAAAAACATTGGTAACAATAACATTTTATATTGTAATTATGCTTACATGCCGTGTCCCCGCCTGCAGCCGCCCCGCCAGCACTGCTGCCCCGCCGTGTAGAGCGGGCCCTGCAGCTCCCAAAGCACCAGCAGCGCTAGCTCCAGCCCCGGGGGCAGCCCGCCATCAAAACACCCCACCTGCAGCCGCCCCGCCAGCACCACCGCCCACCCTGCACAGCCCTGTGTAGAGCAGGCCCCGTGGTTCCCACAGCATGGGGGGGGGGCAACTAGCCACCACTGCCCCTCACACACACCTGCCCGCAGCAGCCCCACTGCCCCTTCCTCTTGCACCCACAGCCATTATTGCCCTAGCAGGGCCGAAGATCAAGAGAAAGTTACTTTGGCATCGCAGCTCCAGTCTCCTCCAGGTATCTTCGAGACTAACTAAGAGATGGTGTAGTTGGGTAGCAGGGAGGGGTGCAAAGTTCCTGCCAATTCGCCTTTGCTGCAGACAACTTACATGTGCAAAGTTGCCGGCCGGGTGTTTTGGCGCGCTCAGCAGCAATTCCTATTGGCTTTCGAAAGCCAATAGGGGGAGTAGCACAGCTCATGCAAAAATTGAAAAAAAAAAACATAAAAAAAGGTGCCGAAACGCCGTTCTGAGCGTTCTATGAGAAAAAAAGCCCTGCAGATTAGTCTTCAAATATCGAAAAGGAGGACATGTAGGAGGACACTTTTTGAGGGAGGACAGAACTTACAAAAGGAAGACTGTCCTCCCTAAAGGAGGATGGTTGGACACCTTATGATTAAGCCTGTGGTTGATCTCTGCCTTTTTGCCCCCTAACCAATTCCAAGTGGCATTTGAATGACAGTTTAGTGAACATTTCATACACAGTGATATTCTTCATAAAAGAAACAGACCCAGTGTAACTGAATAGTATCTTAAAGTAAAAAAACATAGATTTTAATAATTTAGAAAAATGTTTTTCAACCTTAGCAATTTTAAGACTTCAACTCCCAGAATTCCCCAGCCAGCACACTTGAATTTAAATCTTAAAACTGCTAAGGTTCAGAAACACTAATTTAGAATAAGATGCCATGTTGATATGATGGAACAGTGTTCAAGAAATTCCCCAAAAGGAGAGGCTAAAAGCATAACTGAAAATAATTCCAACAAAGCAAAAAAAAAAATGGAATGTAGTAGCAGAAGCAATCTGATAACATACATAAAACCTAATAAAGTTTTAAGGACACCCAAATTTAGATAGGATTGGACACATAGCAGAGTGATGGAAAATGGAATGAGTCCTATTTTTTCCTTGATAGGGTCAGTTGCATTACAAGGAGATTTCTACCCAACCTTTTTATTGAGGCACACTGTATACTGCAGTCCATTCTTCTCCTCCTCCTCTTTTTTTCCACAATCTTGGAGGCAGGACGGGCTAAGAACGCTGAAGCAGACTGGTTTCTACTTTCTTTTAGATTTTTTTAAATCCTGCCTTTATTATTTTTATAAATAACTCCAAGCAACGGACATACCTAATATTAAGGTGACCAATTTTTTTACAATGAAAAGGAGGACACAAATAAATTGAAGAAAAAATATCGTAAATAAAAGAAACATTTTATTCATTGCAACAATAATACAGAATACACTATAATATGATAAATGCATAATAAAAAACATTTGTAACATTTTATATTGTAATTATGCTTACATACCGCGCCCCCGCCCACAGCCGCCCCACCAGCACTGCTGCCCCACCGTATAGAGCGGGCCCCGCAGCTCCCAAAGCACCAGCTGCGCCAGGGGGGCAGCCCGCCATCGACACACCCCACCTGCAGCAGCCCCGCCAGCACCACTGCCCACCCTGCACAGACCCGTGTAGAGCAGGCCCTGCGGCTCCCACAGCACGGGGGCAACCGGCCACTGCCGCTCCTCACACACACCCCCGCCCGCAGCAGCCCCGCTGCCCCTGCCTCTTGCGCCTGCACCCATTATTGCCCTAGCAGGGCCAAAGATCAAGAGTGGTGTCGCCGCTCCAGTCCCCGCCAGGTGTCTTTGGGACTAACTAGGACAGGGGTAGGCAACCCAAAACACTTAAAGAGCCACTTGGACCCGTTTCCCACCAAAAACAAAACACTGGGAGCCGCAAAACCCTTTTGATATCTAAAATGAAGATAACACTGCATATATCCTTTTTTACCTTTATTATAGGTGTGTGTGTGTTTGTGTGTATGTGTGTGTGTGTGTATATGTATATGTATGTATGTATGTGTATACACACACACACACACACACACAGGTAAAAAAAGGATATATGCAGTGTTATCTTCATTTTAGATGTCAAAAGGGTCTCTCTCTCTCTCTGTCTCTCTCTCCCTCCCTCTCTATCTGCCCTTGGTCTGCCACTCCTCTTCCCTCCCCCCCCCGCTCTCTCTCTCTCTCTCTCTCTCTCTCTTTCTCTCTCTCTCTTTCTGCCCCCCCTCCTATCTGCTGCTCACCTGGCAAGCTTCAAGCTGTTGTCCAACAAGCAACCTCGTCTCTTTTATGACTCATGGACTTCAACTCCCAGAATTCCTGAGTCAGCCTAGCTGGGCTAGCTAGCTCTCTCCTGCCCTTCCTGCTTCCTGCTTCCTGCAGAGACGCAGCAAAGGGAGGAGCTCCGCCCAGTAAGCTTTTCAGCTCCTCGGAGGACACTGTGAGTGAGTGCACTCTCTTTTACACAGACACACACACATACACACAAAAACACACACAGAGAGAGAGAGAGAGAGGGAGAGAGAGAGAGAGAGAAGCATGGAAGCGCAATTGCCTCTCTCTGTCTCTGTCTCTCTCTGCAAAGGCAGAGGAGGCTGGGAGCCACAGGGGAAGGCCCAAAGAGCCGCATGCGGCTCCGGAGCCACAGGTTGCCGACCTGTGAACTAGGAGATGGTGTGGTTGGGTAGCAGGGAGGGGTGCAAAGTTCCTGCCAATTCGCCTTTGCTGCAGACAACTTACATGTGCAAAGTTTGCCGGCCGGGTGTTTTGGCGTGCTCAGCAGCAATTCCTATTGGCTTTCAAAAGCCAATAGGGGGAGTAGCACAGCTCATGCAAAACTAATTGCACCTCCCGGAACCAATTAACAATGAGTACCAAGGTACCACTGTGGTTTGCTGCAATTTTACTATATTGTTACTGTCATATGGCTATTGTAAGCTACAGGGCTAACAGTAAATCATCACTGACTCATTTATTCTGAAAAATGGATATGTATCCACCAAGAATTCTAAAGTAGAATAAAGAAGCAGGAGTGAACCCTGACATGGATGCAAACATGTTGACTATTCCCTCTAATGAGTTTCACTCTGTAGGCCCTAATAATTCTAAGCATCTGGACATAAACATTTATGTCAGTGCTTCTCAATCTTAGCAACTTTAAGATGTGTGGATTTCAACTCCCAAAGTTCTAAGAGTTGAAGCACACGCATCTTAAATTTGCCAAGGTTGAAACACACTGATTTATGTGACATCCTGGGGAATAAATGAAATGCCAGATGACTGGAGGTTAGATGCAGCGGTGTCTATAAGGAAGGTTTGAAATCAATATGGTGGTTTCTTCCATTTTTGACCTTTCTTTTCAAAGCTAATGAACACATGCCCCTATTTTCAACAAATCTTAAGAGGGGAGCTCTTAAGGGAACTAAGAAAGGTTAGTCTAAGACAGGGATAGGCAACCTTGGCTCTTTTATGACTCGTGGGCTTCAACCCCCAGAATTCCTGAGCCAGCATCGCTGGCTCAGGAATTCTGGGAGTTGAAGTCCATGAGTCATAAAAGAGCCAAAGTTGCCTACCCCTGGCCTAAGACAATAGCTGGGTAGATTCTAGAACAAATAGTTATGTCACTGATTTATAAATACTTTTGAAATCATTTGTGTTGGTTATCAGAAGTCAGCACTGATTTGTCAAGACTAAGTCTTGCGAGACCAATACTAGCATATTTTTATAGGGTAACTTCCACTGCACCTCAAGATGTTCTGATTAGCAAGCCAGTATGATATGAGTATAATGTCATAATAATTAAATGACCACTTAAGTATTTTAGGCATTGTAATCATTACTTGTTCATTATCAGACTAGAGAGATTCAGTTATTCATTATCACAGTGAAAAGATATCAAGTAGATTGCCACAAGTTTCCATCTAGAACAGTGGTTCTCAACCTGTGGGTCGGGACCCCATTTGAGGTCGAACGACCATTTCACGGGGGTCGCCAAACAAGGCTGTCCGCCATTTTTTTCCCCTTTTCTTTGGCCACGCCTCTGGCACCCGGTGATGTATAAGTGGCTGGGGGTCACCACAATATGGGCAACTATATTATGGGGTCGTGGCATTAGAAAGGTTGAGAACCACTGATCTAGAACTTTGTTATATTCAGATATAAAGAGAACCATTGCATCTGGATTGTGTTTAAATCAAGAATAGTGTTGGTCACTGATAAGACAATATCGTAAGTAGGCTAGGGAAAAAACTAGCAGGCAGAACCTGCAGGGCCGAGTGTGGTTTGATCAAATGTATACCTTAAATGAGGAATATTCTTCAAAAGCTTTTCCATTTGGAAAAGGAAATTAGTTGCTAATATTCAGAAAATCTTGGATAAGAAAGAAAAATACTAGTAACAAAATAATATTCACACAAGTCCAAAAGTTACAAATGAAACTAGTTTCAGTTTAAAAAGAACATGGGGTGTGTGCAAAATGGGCCATCTTTCACAATATTACTTAGAATCAAATCT